ATAAATATATCTATTATGTATATATATAAAACATACATAGGTTGATGCAGTAGACAAACTGAAGTATCTCTCTTCCTTAGAGGAAAAAAGCTTCCTAGTTTTATTTTTTAATACCTCTCTCTACACCAGTACTCAAAGTGCACCAAATGTTTCCTAGTAAAGCACTTGCATATAGTCTTCAGAAAAGTGTGATTAAGGTTAACTTCCACTGTCTTCAAATATTAGTCCATTTTTCCTAGTCATAAGCCATTTTCTAAGAGGCTTATATTTGCCTTTGTTTAAGGGCAACGATCTTTTGATTATTTAGGTTACATTAAAGACTGTTTCTCAAGAAAACGAGCTTGTAATTTTAAAAGTTATTCTGTCTCCAGCTGGGAAAAACACTCGTCATTTCTTCACCTCTGTTTATATAATTCTGTGAAATACCCATCATGATGTCTTTCACAGGCTTTAAGACCGCAAGTCCTGTTACAACCCTATCCTAACTGCCTGCATAAGATATGACATTAAGTCTTACCAACTGGCTCTGTTCTCAGCGGTTTACTGCTAATTAGGCTACATCACGTATTTTACAAACATCCAGTCCATATTCACCGTACCTAATTAACATAGCCAAATAAGCAAAGTCACCTTCTGGATCCTGAGTAATGGGATTGATGCAGAGAAAGACACGTATATACACAATCACAAAGAGCAGTTTGACACACCTCCTTCTCTCCACTGACCGTCAAGAGAACTCCTCAATTTATTGCCTCCAATCAGGTGGGATGAATGCATACCATCCTTTTTTGTTCCATATAAAAAGATTAGGATTGATGCTGTTTCATCACCATTTAGTTTCTCCTTATTTTAAAGATAACAAACCAGAATTATTTTTTTACAAGAATGTAACAAGTGGAGATTTATGAGAAGGATAAAAGTAATCACTTTTTCCTCAATTGAACAATCTCTGAGTATCAGATTGAACCTACACTGTGAAACATGGTTTAAATCAGATGCTATGATTCTCCTGTTCTCCAGCAAAATCATGTTTCCTAAAATATTTAGCTACATTCCTTCAGTGTTGCTAGTATACCTACCTAGGCTACCAGCTGCTAGTGCAGACTGCAGAGCAACAGCCAGACTTGGAACCATCTGCTGGTAGTACACGCTATCGGAGCAAACACACGCTGTAGTGCCCACAGGTCCTGGCCAGCTTCGGATAGGCCTAGGAAACCCAATCAAAAATACCGGTAGCGTGAAGAGCGGCAGCAAGGGAGAAGAAAGGAGTGCAGAGATGGCGATGAAGGTCAGCAGGATCGGGAAGAAAACGACATTGAGTGTGATTAAGGTGGCAGTAGATTTACGACGTTGTTTTTTCTCTGTCCACGATGTCAAAAGAATAGCTATGGCAAACTGCAACTTTGAGACAAACTGAAGCAGTCGATCCCGTAGGATACCAACCTGCAAGATATATACAACAAGCATGTTTATTTGTATCCTGTATCGTATCATATTCAGCACTGCCAAAGCTGCCTTGTCTACAATAATTTTAAGAAAATGAAGTGTGATTATCATTCACTGGTATTGGAGTGTATATCTTCGTACACAGTTTTTTAGCTTCTGTTTGCTAGGTCCTGGACTCTGTAATTCTCTAATAGGGGAGGGCAAGGAAACAAAGACTTTAAGTGACAACTATCTGTTTAAATTTAAATGATGACAATTACCAGCAAGAGTCTGATTCCTGTATCAAGGCTCCTGTTCCACCAGAGGTCTGGATTAAACACCAACATTTGTGCTATTGACACAACCACTATGTCCAGTAGGGCATTTTCTGTATTCTGCCAGACCTAAAATAGAGATATGTTCGACAAACATTTAAAAATGTATTTCTCTATCTCTGCTTTCATGACCTGGAATATTTCTTCCAAGTCACCTTAATACTTAAATCATGTAGAAGAGAATTTCTTAGGCTAACATATTTAAAATTCAAATTACCATCCTAAATATTCTTGTGAATCCAATGCAAACAGACACAGAATGAAGATTTTGTAGCGAACGGTCTAGTGACAGGAACGCTATCATAGCAAACGGAGACACTGTAATTGAAATAAAAGAATCATTGATTTCCTTTCAAAAACATAATTAAGGTCTACAGAGGTAAGCAGTCTTATTGCAGAACGGAAATCTTGGCGTAAAAAGAGAACTCTTCCCTTCATTATTACAAACTCCTCTTTGTATTACACTTCCAGGATATCAAACAGCGCATTTGCACTGATGGCCCAAGATGGCAAACATTTATGTTGATGCTTAGTTGTTACTTGCTACTACTTTTTTGTTGTTTGTTTGTTTCCCCAAGAGAATGGGAATACTCAAATAAGTAAAAATAAACATGCGAATAGCACTCATCAATCCACTTCCCCAAACTGATCCTTTTTTATAAAATTAAATAATTGAGATCAAATTTTGGTTCCCCCAAAGTAGATACACTTGTCTCTAACCTACCAGAAAGGAGACTGTTCCCTTTACTAGCAAGTTCTAAGAACCAAATATTTCGTCAGCTTTTAAGACTCTCAACTCACTTTTGTTTCCAAGTACCTTTTAAAAAATCTACATGAGCCATTTTTTCAAAAGTGAGTACTGATGTTATAACTGAAATCCTTTAAAAGGCCTTGCTTTCTGAGCTGGACTTTTAAAAAGCTCAACTTTCTAGGTTTACCCCTAAAAACCAAATAAATAAAAATCACTAATCACTTCCAAATATTCTGAACCAGTAATTTTGACCTCAATGCACAATTTAGCAAAACAACAAGTATTTCCAGCTACTTGGTTTTTCTTAGTTCATTCATAGAATCTTGCATATACAGTAATTCTAGCGTTGTTTCAATCTTCCTACAAGCATCATCTAACAAACAACAGACAGTGCGTATTCCTACCTAGTGTTAGTAAAATCCTCCTGACAACACCAACTTTCATTAGCCTTCTTTGCTTCTCCATGAACACAGTCACAGTCCTGACATCCTTTGGATAAAAGGGGTTTCGGAAGACTCCAAACAAGTACACTCTCTGAATCTCTCTAAGAATCCACATAATTATAAGTAATATGATCAGAATGTAACTTGCTATAGCCTGAGGACTGGCTTTGGAAAATGATGAAAAGCCTGCAAATTGATGCAGCAGGCTAGCTTCTATGAGAGCAAATGTCAATACAGTCAAATAAAAAATAAATTCCCTCCACCCAAATTGTATTCTAAGACCTCTGTGCATATTTTTAGATTTGCTGGAGGCTAAATGGCTGATCATGGTGTGTTTGAAGGCAAAACCAATCTCGCTTAGGTTAAGACTCAGTATGAACCCAAATCCAGTCATGAAGAGGATCACACCAAGAGTGCTGGGAATGAAATACGATGCTATTGCTGTTCCAGCAGAAATGAGAAACATTACTAATAACCTGTGAAGGAGAAAATAAAAAAGATTTGCTTGAAAAGAAAAAGGTTATAAACAATATTGATATATTTTACAATTATATAAACAACATTTACTTTGTGTTACTTGACATAGGTGAACCTCCTAGTCCAAACTCCAACAGTTGTTCCATTCCCCATAGAAAAAGTGCGTCAAGCGGGGGCAGAATTCCCATTGCCCATAAGAACGGCAGAAAAAGAAATATGATGTGCAAAATCTGGTTTGTCTGTTCTAGAATGGCTGTGTTGACAGCAAACCTGGATAAAAGAAGAAATGTATTTGACTTCTGTGAAGGAAAAGATAACTGGTGTGTGGGAAGACTTTTTGTTTAACTACTATAGCAAATCCAGAAGTATAAACATTACATATTCAATCTACAAAACCTCAACTAGTATCATTTAAAAGGAAAAATAAGGACCTACATTTATGCTTGGGGCAATCATACACTAATTAGAACATCACAACACAGGCTAATTTTTCATTCAAAAGTTTTGAAGCCTTCAGATTATGCAGATGAATCAAGTGATGCAAGTATCCTAATTGCTTTGATACTGTTGTGATAATACACTCAAGAAATACTTGTGCAAAAATAAAGGTCCACAGGCTCCAAGACCTCAACCGTTTAACAAAAAAACGCTAAGTATTTTTTCAGAATTACAAAAGCGAAACTTTATGCAAAGTCCAAGACCCAAGATGCAAAAGCCTTAACACTGAAAGAACTGGCATGTTGCCTGTACACCAAGAGATAAACCCTCTTTAGGAATATAAAACGTTATTTTCTACATAAAAAATATTAAAATCTTCCTGTAAAAATACAAAGATCAGTATTAGAAATCTGCATAAATTCTAAGCCATACATAGTTCACCAGCTAGCTAATTAAGTTAAAGGTGGACTGCTAAGATACTTGGTTTCTCTCTACTTCTTACTAAATAAGTAAGCAAGCTTCAAAGGAATCTTGCAGGAATTTAAAGAATGGCTGAATTTTCTCCTCAGGAAATTAGATAAAAGAATTTCGGGTCTAAGACCACGAGTATAATTTTCTTATCATAATTGAAGAGGCAATTAGGGTAAATCATTAACAAAGACATCTCCAAGTGTAAAACTAGTAAAATCAAACATGCTTTTTTTTTTTAATGCATTTGAAGTACCCCAATCATAAAATATGTACATATGACAAAGTGATATAAATATCACCCGACAGAGAGAAAGAATGCATAAAGTAAAACTAAAAGCATCTTGATTTAAGAGATTCTACAAATACTTTAGCTAAGACACTCATCTAAAGTGGAAATATAAAAGTTTCCTATTTGTAGACTGACATAGTTCTTTTGTATTACAAAAGCATTTAAAAATCCATATAACCATTCAAAATCCGTATAACAAAGATATAGCAACGTTCACATTTGCTTATCCACTCGTTAAAACCAAATTTATGATCCTTTTTTGCCTGTAATTTGTAACCCTCTGCAATCACTTTGCAGAGATTAAATCAGAAAATATTCCAGGATGAAATCTGGATATAAATCCAGTGCTCCTGAAGTTTGCAGCGTTTAGATCTATGGTTCCAGATCAGGAGCATGTTTTTTGAAAACGTACCCTTTAAAAGAATGCAAATGCTCTTGTACAAAAATACTGAAATTGACGCTAGAAGATAATTTTAGCTGCCCCTTACTTAGAAACTGCTCTTCCTCATTTACGTGGAATGCTATAAAAATTTAACAACAACTTTTTATACACAGCATAGAGCATCAATTTTTACCATACACTCCTCTAGCTTTTTTTGGAGTTCCTACAGTTGATTAAAATCTCAAAATAAATTTTTCTCAGAAGAATCATTTCAACTTTCTCATAAAAAATATACAGAATAACCATTACTTTTATTAGCTAAATGCTACATTAGGTTTACCTGTGTGCAAGATCCACTGCAATAAAGACAAAAATATAGAAAGGTCTCATCAGAGCAGTGATTTCGTAAGTATCCAGTGCTTGGAAAGTAGCTGTTTCGGTAGCTGTATTTATGATTAACGAATACTCTCCTATACATATAGTCACCCATCCAAATACAAAGATCATAACAGTTCCTCCAATATTGCTATACAGCAAGGTTATTCTGTTCGGCAGCAAATACCAAGTTCCCAACCCACACAATACCCCTGCCAGAAGAGAATGAAATACAGTGTTGATTATATACTTCTTGCCAGGAATAATAAATTTTACTGTCTCTGAACCTATACAACTGGAAAATTCAAACTCATCTTCATCTGTTAGGGTACTCTGAATTTGCATTCTTTCTACTCTCACTGTTTTCTGTTTTGCGTATAGATTTGTCATCTGAAGAATAAGTGCAGTAACAAACATCAGTCCTCCTGAAAGTGCTGCAGCATAATAGTCTTTCATAATGCCTAATTGGTACAAAAGCGTTCCTACTCCTCCCAAAACCCATGGTGTCAAGAAAAGAATAATCTGATTCACATATATGTAAGGAGGGGCACAATAGCCTAATTTAAACCGGGGACCTCCCAGCACAGTCTGTGGAAAGCGCTTCAAGAAGAACTCCTGTTTGTAATCATTCAGCAGAGGTACATCTGGACCCATTCTTATTATTCAGGAATGCTGGATGAATATCATTTTTCCTGTAAGAGAACAGAAAGAAAAAGACGGAAACATTACTGAACCTGGAACCCAGATCTTAACCAGGGAATTCTTTTGTCCTATTTTCATTTACCAAGTTATATTGGAATTCTAACATGTTAGTGTTAGCAGACATCATCCTAAAGCACCCACAGAATCTGTTAGAATACAACTACTAAGCAAACACCTAAAATGGAAAAAGACTATCTATTTTAAAATAAAGAATACATTCATGATCTGAAGCTTTAGGCAACAAATAAAACATATAATCTCTTCTTGGAAGATGATAAAACCAACTCATCTTCACACCAGAACACCTTTCTAAAACTGAATTTTTTTTCCATTCAGTTTGATTGGTCTGTCTTGCCACAGACCTCTAATTCCAATTAATCCTGTTAAGGATCTCCATATACAAACAGAAGAGTCCGTGATTTCAGTGAATAGCCACATAAGTGCAAGGATACAGTCACACTGAGGTCCCGGTAAAAATCAAAGCCTTATGAAATAAACTAACTTTAAAAAAATTAGTAGAAGCATTAAAAATTGTTTTCCACATCAGCATTTTTACTGTCCTCCCTACACAGCCTAGTTGCAGGACAGGATCTCACTGTACACTAAGCACTACACAAGACATAAAATAAACAGTTCACTTTCTGCTTCCTAAAACATATAAAATAAAAAAAATAAACACAATACTTGTGAGTTGTAGCAGAATCAGCATATATTCTTCTGTATGTCAATGGAGAAAGCTGAAAAAAGGAAAAAAGATACCTGTAAACATTTACAATGAATCATCAAATAGAAATCAGAAATGAATACTCATTTAGAGAGGATCAGGCAATGTAGAAATAATTAATGTAAGATAGTAAGTATGATATTCAAATATAATTTTATGCCACTAGACAGGTAGAAATACTCAAGCTAAGAAATAGCACAAAAATGCAGTGCCAAAGCACTTCATTAATAATAATTCTAAAAAAGAGATGTTGGTGTGCATTAGGAGATGTGCAAGTACTGAAATTCTGACTTTCTTCTACTGGACCTGTATAATCTGATGAATACCTATTAGCCATCATTGCTGATATATTAAAAATTAAACACTCAGGTGCCGTAGAGTTTCCAAACTACTGCAATCCCTTCTTTATACAATACCAAATGCTTCTAGGCGTTTCCAAGAACAATTTACTCCTTATATTTAAACAGGTATCAATCACTCAACTGTAGGTAGATCACTGGTCATCACTGGACTAAGCTAGAAACAGTGCAAATGAGAGAGATTAAAGGCCATTCATATGCATTATCATGACTGGAAACATGACTGGAAATTTGCATTCAGGGTCCACTAAGTCAATACACTGCACAATGAAAAGCAGGACCCCACAGGCTCTGCAACTACTCTCCATGTAGGCTCTGGAATTTTTTTTTTTTTTTTTTAAGTAAAAATTCCAAATTGGAATTCCAAATTGGAATTTTTACACATAGAATACTGAACATGGAATATTGAAAACATAGAGGTTTTTTGGTCATACTATTTCAAGCCATTGAAAGTTTCTTACGGTAAGGAGAAGCCGGCAGTCAGTCTTAATGGAAAAGACACATGTTGACAATGGAGAGGGGAATTCATTGCAGTCAGCTCAGGAATTTGAAAATGTAACAGAGACACACCCAACTAAAAACAAATTTCAAGTGTAATTAAAAAAAAAAAAAAATCACAATTCAGCCAATTTGTTTAGAAAAAGAAACACTGTCTATAGGGCTACATAGGCATGAAACTAAGTTGCTGTGAAAGTTACATACAGTAGAAGATTTATAGGCACGTAAAGGATACAAGCTGAGTTTTAAAAGAAAGGTAGAACCAAAAGGTGCATAGTTTTCCTTGAAAAAGAGTTTTCTGGCAGCTGTGGTTTTTTGCTCTAAGAAGGGCTATTTTTGTTTCAAGTTCTAGTCTGCATTTGTGTTTGTCAGTTTATATTGCTAATAAAATGTTAACAAAACATTCCTCTTACTGTTTCTGTGTAAACAATAGACATCTTTGTGTGAGACACAAAAATCTACGCACATAAACAATATAGTTCTACTCGGCTATACTCCAAAGTGAGCCATAAAAAGATGTGAATTTATTTATAAATTAAAATCCCAAGACTGAAGCTCATAAACTATGGAAATGATACCCTTGACTATCCTCCTGGCTTCCAAATAGTCAGGTAGCACATTAGGACTTCAAAGAGGCACTCATGCATGTCTTGTTATTTCTGTGCAAAGCCCTAGCAACAAGACTCCACACATTAGCGAGTGTTTACAGGACCTGGCTTCAATATACATTCCTAACATACAGGCCTGGCCTGACTCTGGTAACTTCCCTGGTTACCCAAACAGTCTGCACTACAAGAGTTTGTCATCACCAGCAAGGATCCATGCGACTTAGATACTATCATATCAAGGATGGTAAAAGGACTTTAACACCGTAAAGTCATTTAACAAGTTCCCCCCTGCAATATCCTCTCTATGTCCTTATTACAAAAGGCAACAAAGCAAATCTTGCTCAAATTCAGGCAGAAATTCACAGGAGGGCATGATTATTTTGTCTAAACGAACACCATCCTTCACGTCCACTGATGGTGGATCAGCCTCAGTGCGGTTTGGTTTTATTTCAAGCAGATTACAGAAGAACACGTGTACAACTCTCAGCCACCTAAGCCGCTGAAGCACATAAGGCTTAAAAATACTTACCTCAGTGGTCTTCCAGGTCTTTTCACGCGAGACTAAGTAACGGTTATAAACCACCTGCTAGCACAGGAGGGAGGAACGCCAGCGTGGGAGGCGCAGAGAGAGCTGCGGACAGCAGACGCACCCCATGCCCACCTGTGTGCCCAGACACCCGCATCTCTACTCCACGGTTACAGATTCAGCTGTGCTGCAGGCCAGCTTCCAACCCAGCAGCCAGACGGAGCAGGCTGGGGGCCTCTCCTCAACAGCGTCGATGCCATCCCCCAGTGAGACCGGGGATGCAGCGTTTTAGGCCAACACGCTACATCCAGTTATGCGAGGGGCATCCCGGGACCACTTTGGGAAGGGCTGCAGACCACCTCCTTCCCGAGACACCTCTGCACCTCACCAGACGGACTCCCACCAGAGCCACCACACTTTTTACCCAGCTA